TTAAGGATTAGCGGTCAGGCAGTTTCGAGATATTTCGATATAAAACAGCTTCACGTTTCTTTCATCTTTAGTAAATACGATAACTACAAGACCTATGCGCGCGCTCTTGCGCGCGCTGATCTATTCATTTGTTGAAATGAAGAAATGGAATTCATTGAATTTCATTTTCTCATGAATACCTTATAAATATTGATAATGAATCAAAGAGAATTCGACTAATGATTGAAGTGAATAGCGAAGTAGAATAAAATAACTATAAAGAATTTTTCATTTTCAATTAATTATCTTCAATTTTTTAAAATAATCGGTCTCCATAAAAGGACAGAATTTATTAATTTCACCGATAATATATATACATGTGAAATATATATATTATATATATATATATGACGTGAGAAGAAAATTTACCTCTGAAGAATTTGAAATTATGTCACTGAAGAATTTGAAAATGCCGCGTGTTTTTTTAAATATCTCTCTAATATCTCTCGAGAACCCATTCAACTGCATGAAATTCCAGAATTTTAAATGAAAATTGAAGACTAACTAATATTTTTCTCAATGTCCATTCGTAATGTTTGTGAATTATTGATTATTATTGATTGATTGATTGGAAGAGAGGGGATAGATCGAGGGAAGACACCACCGGGGGATTCCTTACACCTAATAATCGCTCGTTACTTTCAAATTAGAAAATACGACAAGTCATTGTCGAGGTTCAGAGTTTCGAATAATTCTGAAATTGGTATTTCCAAGATAATAATAATTGCATCCTTTTAATAATTTTCAATGCAGCAAGCCTCAATTGAAAGGCAATGACCACAATCAATTCAGCAATTACTGATTTAATGACGATAGTGAATAAAATTCAATTGCTAAATACGTGTAGTCCATCGAATACACAATTGAATAATGCACGTAGACATGTACGTGGTGTTTATTGATGTCTTTGCAATCAGAGGCTCGTTTTCTTTTCATTTTTTAATTGGAAAAAATACACATCTGCCAATAACTATACATATAGTATACAATCACTTGAAGATGTCATTCGTTAATTTTTTAACCGTTATTCGAATGTCATAACGCTATTATTTACATACGAGGATAATTAGAATCTCTCAATTTTAAAATGAAATATAGTTACTCTATTTATTAAAAATAATTTCGAAGCATTTGAATTAAATTCAAGCTCACGTGCTCCCGGCACATACATTTGATATTTTAATCTCTCATTTTTGGTAGAATTTTAGCATTCAAGTAGATATAATCGAAATGAACATTCATGATAAACAGTTGAATCCTTGGATTAGGGGAGAGTGGGGTAAAACGGACACTTTAGACTTTTTTAAAATTATTCATAACTCAGAAACAAATTGATCAATCGAGCTCAGTTTAGGCTCGTCATAAAGGGAAAGAATTGTTCTTTGTATTGAAAAAAAAAAATTATTGAATTTTATCATCATTTCAACCCCTTATTAACATTTTTAAGAAAGTCAAAAGTGTCCGTTTTACCCCAACCTCCCCTATATTGAGCATTTAACGAACATGAAGATAGTTTCTTCAAACATTGTTTCAAAAAAATTGAAATTGACTATCCAAGACAATGAAAGTTCATTGCAATTCCAATGAATTGAACCCTCAACAATATATTTGGACGTCCGCATGAAAAGGGACCACTTTGTCGATATGGTGTTATATATACTCTGATAATATTGATAACATTCCGCACATTTTGAGCCCAAAATGATCTTCATAGTGTCAAAAATGACGTCATTGGAGAAGATGAAACAAACAATTTAACATTGGTGCAAATGGGACTTGCTGAGACAAAAACGTGAATATCTCGGAAACTAGAATCGACAAAGTGGTCCCTTTTCATGTGGACGTCCACATATTATATATTAGTAATTTTCATAAAATAATTGAACTGAAATAGAAATCCCATTTCCATTGATTTTTGATAAAATTTTTAATTTTCAACGACGAAATTCCTTGAAATTTCAGTTGACCCACAATACGCTTAAAATTTCTCCCATCGAAATAGTAATCCAGAATGACTAATTAACATTTCAGTATCCGGCGACAGTGGAGTGGGAGCCGGCTCGTCAGAAGAGCCCCACTGCATGTCCCTGCGAGACCCCGTAAATCGTAGAAAAACAATTCCCCAAGAATCAGTATTTCGCAACACCGTGGAAAGAGTCTTGCTAGAGATCGTGGATACGGAGGCAATTTACGTCGAGCATCTCTGCCAGGTTATCCAAGGATATCTGATAGTCTGGCGAGACGACCCAAATTCTCTCCTCACCCAGTTCGAATTGACTCACCTCTTCAACAACATCGAGGACATATTCAGCTTCAACAGTCAGTTTTTGAAGGAAATAAAGGACTGCCAGTTGGAGCCTATTCTCGTGGCCAACACCTTCATCAAGCACAATTCGGGTTTCAAAGTTTACACTGAGTACTGCACAAAATATCCTCGAGCTGTGTCGATACTGACGGAGTTGATGGGTCGAGAGGAGACAGCAAAGGCGTTTCGAGAGCGTCAGGAGGCCCTGGGCCACGCCCTACCCCTCGGCTCATTCCTCCTCAAGCCTGTCCAGAGGATCCTCAAGTATCATCTACTGCTGGAAAATCTGTCCAAGGAATTCGAGGCCGACGAGGCCTGGAGGAACTTCAACGAGGGCAAGAGCACCATTGATGAAGCACTCAAGGCCATGACTGGAATTGCTGAGCACATCAATGCCATGAAACGTAAGCACGAGCATGCTGTCAGGGTCCAGGAGATTCAGTCACTACTTTATGGCTGGACTGGAGCTGATTTAACCACCAATGGGGAGCTGATCGCCGAGGGGAGGTTCAGAATGCGAGGGGCCAAAGCACCTAGACATGCTTTTCTATTCGAACGAATGTTGTTACTTACGAAGAAGAAGGAGGATGGATTGCTGGTTTATAAAGCTCATATTATGGTAGTTATTTGGTTTTATTTTGGTCATATTATGGTAGTTATTCTGGTTTTATTTTGTTATTTATGGGTGGGGAAGTTCATTGAGAAATTTTCCACGTATGAAAGAATTTCATAGAAAAGCTTAGTGAATTCGCTAGAAAATTCTATTGAAATTCTCTAGAAATTCTATGGATTTATCGCTAAAATTCTATTTGTTTTTTGCGCAGATTCTATTCTATTCCATTCTTTGATACGAAAAAGCAAATAGACGTCGATTTTTCTGTTTGAATTTTTCTCTTGAATATTTTTTCTATTAAAATTATTGGGCGCGGATATCCGCTATATTTTGTTTTGGTTGGTATTACAGGATCCGAGTGAAAAAAACTTGGAAAATTCATGTCTACGTATTCGTATAGAAAAAATTCCCAGAGAATATTCACATAGAAAAAGCGGTATCTGTTGACGTTTTCCTATCAAATATAACATCGAATCAGTGCAAAAGACAAATAGAACTTTAACGAGCATTCCCTAGAATTTCTAGAGAATTCTAATCGAATTTCCTAGCGAATCCGTTAAATTTTTCTATTGAATTTTTTCATACGTGTTCTTTGATAACGTTCATTGAATTTCCGTTGGGAAATATAAAAACATTAAACGTTTACATCAAACGTAACATAATTTGTAACATCAAATAGACTTTCTCATATTATTTTTGTACGTAAGTTATTCTACTGAAACTTTTTCTGTAAAAATTTTTAAACATCAATTTTTATCTTGCATTTTTAATGGGAAACAAAACAAGGCTTCTATTCGGAAGCAAAAAGCAGAACAACTCCAAAGAATAAAAAAAATTATTACTAAAAATTCTCATTTAAATAATCCTATAGAATGTCTTTGGGGAAACATTAGGTGTTTCTAATAATTTTTCACTTGACGATCTACAAAGACTGATTTTCAATTGTAATACATTAATTCTGCTTCTGTCCCCTACATTAATCTTCATTTTTCCTCATCTTTTTCAGTGTTCAAATCTAATGTTAATCGAGAGTATACCAGGAGAACCGTTCAGCTTTCACGTCATTCCCTTTGACAACCCAAGGTTGCAGTACACTTTGCAGGTGACTAAACTTATCACGACAATTTAATAATTTCTAAGAAAAATAGAGTGCAAAAAATTTAGAAAATTTATATCAAGAAATTCCTATAAAAACTGGAAAAATCTAAATGGAAAAATTTGTATAAAAAAAATGATATTCTACGCATAATAATTAATATAAAACAGTATCTATTGGAAATTATCTGCTCATTTTTTCAATAAAAATATTTGATGGAAAATATTCCACCAAAAAAAATCAATAGAATTCGTTTTTTCTCCACAACTTATTCTATTGAGATATTTTCTATAGAATTTCCTCGGCTGAAATTTTCCAAATTTGTTTGTTTGATTTTGTAATGAAAAGAAGAAAAATAGTGCGAAAAAAGAACTTGGAAAATTTATATCGAGAAATCCCTATAGAATATTCTTGTTTTTTTTTCTATAAAGTAGTTTCTATTGGGTATTTTTCATAAATAAAACGCGCACTTCAGTTCTCCAATCTGAATACAAATCTGCTAGAATTTCCAATCGAATTCATCAGTTTTTTCCAAGAAATTTCCTCCATGCTAACCCATCCCATTCATTCACAGGCACGAAACCTCGAACACAAAAGGGAATGGACCCTCCAAATAAAACGAGTAATGCTGGAGAACTACAACGCAGTGATTCCCATCCACGCTCGTCAACTGGTGCTTCAACTCGGCCAGTCCCAGCACGACGAAGACGCCAGTACCGAAAAAATATCAATGAAAAAATTGTACTCGTCACCACCAGAATACCTGGAGCGACGAAAGCAGGAGAAGGACCGAAGAAGATCGGAGGCCGGACTGGGTCCAAAATCGAAGAAACTGTTTCCTAAATTCGATGGCAATTCGACAGAGAGTCCGTCCTTCTCCTCCTCCTCGTCCACAACGTCGTCCTCATCCTCGTGTCAACGAGACCAGAGCCTGAACAGATCCCTGGACTGTCGAGCCTCAAAAGTGAAGGGCAAATTGACAAATTGGCGGAGAAAATCCGAGCCAGGTTTCCAATCCTACGTGTCGTTCAACAACTCGGACGACGAGGAGGACAAGGAAAAAGAAGTGAACGAAAAGTCCAACAACACGATCAACAATCAGAACAACCTCCCACCAAACCCCTCAAATTCCGAAACGGCAAATTCACCGATCCCCGAGGATCGAAGGGAGGAAAATGTCAAGAACAATTTGTCCCCAAACAAAGACGTGAACATCGAGCCGCAGACTGTCGAGCAGATAGTGGGTCACATTCTCATGCAGAACGAGGAGTTCCAGAAGCTCCTGGAGAAGCAGAGGAACAACAGCATGACGAACGTGCGACAGCAGCAGCGTTTCCACAAGGATCAGCAGAACTCCTTAAACACCCCCATCGACACCTCCGAGGAGAGTGACAACTGCTGCGACAACTACCCCTCAAACACCATAAACAACAGGATAACGAGACTAAACAGAATCACTGCTGTCAACCGAGAGAGAAAGGAGTACCGATCAGTGCGTTCGAACAACAGTTCCTGGAGTCAGCGATACCAGTCGGATAAAAATCCCGGGTCCCACCTGCGACTGCAGTACAACAACTTCAAACCCGAGATCGACCAGCCAAAGTCGCAGGACAAGACGTTCAGGCGCCAAAGCATCCTGACAGAGAGTAAAATAATAAAAACAGCCCTGAGGATGAACGACGACTCGAGGGGCGAGGACGAGAGTAAAGTGGAGTGTCCAACGCGTCCCTCAGTCTGGCTGACTAAACTCTGTGAGGACCTGCCAACGTCACCTCACAAATCAGGATCACTGCCCCGCAGTTTTCAGATCAATCCAGAGTCTCGAGACAATTACTCTCAGGAGAAGATCACGAAGTCGAGGTTTCTGCAGAGGGACGGGAAGCCTCTGAACGAGAGGCCCTTCACCATAGCCTCCGACAAACCTGCTGACATCAGCCTCGAGGACATGGAGAGGTACAACTCGTATCAATCAGAGGAGCAGATCAATCAGCTCTCGAATTCAGACCTGAACTCGGCTTCAACATTTTTCTGCTCTCTCGAGGATAATTCAACAGTGGACTCTGACTCCGACAGGATTCACCCGGACCACAAGATCTACAGGAGCACTGTGGGGAGCACAATGCTGAAGAACGTCCTGTCGAAGGCTGGAAGTCGTCTCCAGGGGCTGAGACTCACGCTCAGCACTGAAGCCCTGGAGTCCAGTGATCCTGTCTCTGACTCCTCTAAATCGAGGAATTACAAGGGGAAGAAGAGGAGCAAGTCCAAGCTGTTGAGACTCTCCAGGGAGAGCTCCACTGATGTTGACGAGCCCTCCGGGTGTGTGCCCACCAGCTCCTCCGAGTCGAAGAGCATTTCTTCGTTGTACTACGAGCAGGGGAGCGAGGGCTTGGGGGCCAGGATTGCCCAGGCCGACTATGCAGATCCCTCCGTTCTCTTTGGGGCCTATTTCGAGGGGAAGGCTGGGGCGAGGGCGCAGGGAGCTGTGAAGACCGATGGCAAGTACTCGGAGGATGAGGCCGATGAGGAGTATGACGAGGCTGACAGGAAAGAATCTGATTGCTTCTACGAGAAGTCCTTCGAGAGCATCGAGGATTACGAGACCTTGATTCATAACGAGGGGAGGGACGATGCCTTCAGGGATAGTGCAATATTTAGTGATGAGGAGGGGAGGGAGGCACAGGGGAGAACTACTGAGAGACCGAAAATTCCACCGCCTGTGCCGGCGAAAAAACATTGTCTGAAGGCGATTCCGAAGAGTGTCAAGCCCAGCATTGCGGCTAAGCCTGAGGGGCTGAAGCTACGGTCGATGGTTTCGAGGAAGGGAGAGGGCGGCGGGGGGGTCAAGTGCATCAGGGTTACTTTGGTGCAGGGGGCCGAGGGGGGGAATGTGGGGGAGTCGAGGTTTGGGGAGGTGAACGATATTTCGGCTGGGCAGAGTCAGGCGGGATGGGTCAAGAGGATGGTGGGACAACTCCAGGCGCAAATCGAGACGTAATGTGGGGATTGCCGTAGAGTACAATTGTGGGATTTTTTGAGGGAGGAGGGGAATTTGAGGAGGAATATTTTTGGTACGAAATTTGCGATTGGGACGGTTTTTGGAAGTTAAGGCCCGGGTGTACTAGCTTTCGAATGTTATCTGGATTTTTTTCATCTTTCGTAATCCAAAATTGTCAACTGAGTGGTACATCATGTAGAAATTCCCAAAAATTATGATAGAATGATAACAAAAAAATTGAAAAAATTCTGAACTTTTTCAAAGAGCGTTTTTAATTGAGATTCAGAATGAGTTGAAAAAAGTGGAAATTACAAATATCTGATTCGCTGTGGGAAATTATCTATTAGCTGTCATTTTCCATGGTGGATAACAAAACACTAACTCCTCATGGGAAGTGACAGCCAGGTATCTCAATTTTCAACAGTGGTATGTAGTCATCTGCCATTTTGATGTGATAAAAGTGTGATTAAAAAATTCTCCAAAATATTACAACTTTTTTCAAAGAGCCTTTTCCTTAATAAATGTCTCTGTGCAGTGTGGGAAAAGATTTACGAAATCAGTCTTCCCCCTGCATGATATTGGGTGATAGGTGACGTTATTTGTCACCATAAATCAGATACATTTTTCAATTTTTTGTTATTCAACTTATTCTGAATATAAATTAAAAATGTTCTTTGAACAAATTAAGAATTTTTTCTACTTTTTTTTGATTACTCATTCATAATTTTTCAAGACTTCTGCATGATGCAGGACTTAATTGACAATTTCAGATGACGAAAGATGAAAAAAACATCGAGATAACGTTCGAAAGATAGTACACCCGGGTCTTAAAAAAAAATTTTTAGAGCAATTTAGTGGCTCAGTCAACTTTTATAATGGAAATTTTAATATAAATGGATTAAAAAATTAGATAGATGATATAAGTTCATGGAAATGTCATAGTTCTTGAGAATTGCATAAACTGATTTATCAGAAAAAATTGGTGGAAAATTAACTGAATTGGAAGAGGAATATTTTCAGATTACGACATTTGAGATTGGGACAGATTTACATAGCTCAGTCAATTTTTATAATGGAAATTTTAATAGAAATGGATTAAAAAATGAGGGGGATGATATTATTTCATGGAAATATCATAGTTTTTTGAGAATTCCATAAATTGATTCATCAGAAAAAATTGGTGAAAGATTAATTGAATTGAAAGAGGAACAATTTTTTTGTTACAAAATTTGAGATTGAGACATTTTTTTGGAAGTTTAAGAGATTTTATAAAGCAATCTCGTCAAAATTCGTAATCAATTTTTATAAGAGAAAATTTTTTAATTTCAAATGAATGAATAAAAAAACCAGACAGATGATATAATTTCATGAAAATGGGGGATATTTTTGAGGTTCAAGACTCTCTGCAGAAATTTCGTCACATTTCGTAGGTAGCTTAGTCAATTTTCAAATCACAAATTTCAAGATGAATGAATAAAAAAACCTGACCGATGATTCAATTTCTTGGATCATCTGTCAGGTTGAAATTTATGAATGTTTCACCCTAATCTACCCCTTCACCCCCAAATATTTCAATAATTCCGCAGCAACTACATAAACTCAAGTAGACTAAGCACAATTGTCCACCAATTGACTCTAGTATTCTAGACATGTAACAAAATTATAACTATCATTCAACAATGAACAAGACGATAGATACTGTTGTGTTTTATTGGGAGAATTTTTCTTCTATTTACAATATAATTTTTGCTAGTCGTGTTTATACATAATACAATCATTGTAAATAACTGACAAATAAGAAACAGTCAAATGCTGTCATTTATTTTTTCTACTCATTAAGAATTACGAAAGTCACGATTTGGGGCCTAAACAACTGATCAAAAAAGAATATTTGAATATAAAAGATAATCAAATCAAGTGAGTTTCATAATTGAACGCTCGTATTCCCCTACTTATTTATATTTTTCTAGTATTTTATGCTGCGAATTTCATATCATTCTTGGTCTTTGATGTCTTGTTATCGTTAATCCAGTGAAAATAAATTTGTACGTTGAAGCTGCGTCTCTCGATTCTCAAAAAAAATGTAAAAAAATTAATTAAACAAGTACGTAGTTGGAAACAAAGAGATTTTCCTTCGAATCCACAGACCGAAATGATGATAAAACGCAATTACCTTGTAATACGTCTTACGTAAACACTAGCTCAGTTTAATTCTACGTTGAATTGCCCAATTTCCTATTAGGTACATTGAGTTTTCCATTACGATTTCGATAAACTTGAAATTTCCTTTACATTGTTCCTTCGTATTGTTTTGATAAATAAACAAACTGGTTCTATGAAAATAATGCATACAGCTTCCTGTACACTTTGTTTCGTGTCTTTCCCTATATTAATTTAATCAACTTGTTTCGTACACTTGTTGAACTAGACTCGTACATTGCGACAAAGCTACGATATACAATGGGCAGGTACAATTTTCGCAAGAGGATTCACAACGAAAGATACATGTTCCAAAGCAGGAGTACATAATTTTTTTTTTTCGATGCATCGAAGCTCACAACAGCTGAGAAGAGAATAAATAATGAGAGGCAAGTAAATTAATAGTAACAACCATATTTGAATGTTAATAAATTATTTAAAATGTTGGATCTCCAGAAAGATGATGAATTGCAAATAAAAATGCAGACTAATGCCATAAAATTGTTTCCCTGTCTCTTGACTCATTATCCACCAAATTATTGTCTTTAGATCATTGGGTTTTCATAATTAGAGAGTCCGTGCAATTGAATTGGTTCTCGAAATTTTAGATGCCATTTTTTTGTAAAATAGAAGCCCTAATATCTCTCGAGAACCCACTCAACTGCATGAAATGCAAGAATTTTAAATGAAAATTGAAGACTAATTAACATTTTTCTCAATGTCCATTCATAATGTTCGTGAAGTATTGATTGATTTATTGGAAGAGAGGGGATAAATCGAGGGAAGACACCAGTAAGGGGATTCCTTACACCTAATAATCGCTCGCTACTTTCAAATTAGAAAATACGACAAATCATTGTCGAGATTCAGAGTTTCGAATAATTCTGAAATTGGTGTTTTCAAGATAATGATAATTGAATCCTTTCAATAATTTTTAATGCAGCAAGCCTCAAATCAAGGGCAGTGGCCACAATCAATTCATAAATTACTGATTTAATGACGAAAGTAAATAAAATTCAATTGCTAAATACGTGTAGTCCATCGAATACACAATTGAATAATGCACGTAGACATGTACGTGGTGTTTATTGATGTCTTTGCAATCAGAGGCTCGTTTTCTTTTCATTTTTTAATTGAAAAAAAATACACATCTGTCAATAACTATACATATATACAATCACTTGAAGATATCATTCGTTAATTTTTTTAACCGTTATTCGAATGTTATAACGCTATTATTTACATACAAGAATAATTAGAATCTCTCAATTTTAAAATGAAATATAGTTACTCTATTTATTAAAAATAGTTTCGAAGCATTTGAATTAAATCCAAGTTCACGTGCTCCCGGCACATACATTTGATATTTTAATCTCACATTTTTGGTAATATTTTAGCATTCAAGTGGATATAATCGAAATGAAAATTCATGATAAGCAGTTGAATCCTTGGATTACATTCAGAATTGAACGAACATAATGATAAGTATCGATAAGCACATTGATTGTGTTGGATATTTGTTTTCATTAAATCTATGGATAGTGTTATAATCTCTTTTGTCAATCTCTAGATTAAAAGCGGAAGGATAAATAGTAAATACCGCCGTTAAAATTGAATAAACTCGTGAAAATTAATCAATTATCTAGAAAATACATGATCAAAGGCTGGAATTTAAGAATATCTATCACATTATTCCAGTGTAACTTGCTAAATCAACTATTATTATTATTTTTAAATAATAATACGATTGATAATACGATGCAGGATGAAGACATCAGGAATTGTCCAACTCCTGTAATTTTCTATTAACAATTCTTCGATGTCACATCATCTCGACGAAAAATTTCTAGCGAAAAATCACAATGGAAACTCGAACAGTTGTCAATTCTTCTTTCATTGAAAAATTTTTTAAATTATTTTCAATGGCTGACTTTTATAATATGCCTGAAGAACAGTTAAGAGTTTAAACTTTTCAAATTATTTAATAACTGGCTTCGTGCCCAGCTAATATGTACAAATCTGCTCCTTCAGTCTCAGTCAATGTACCCGAGTGAACTAGGTGGCTTTCTAACATGACGACTCTGCAAAAAAAATCACAAGTTGGAAATTAACAAGATGTTGAATTATTACAGGAAAAATATTGAATTACTTTGTCTATCCGTAAAAATCCCGAATAAACCAACTATTCTTCTTTAGATGAATAAATTTAATCCTTTTAATTTTTTTTCATGAATTCTTTCATTTTTTCTAGTAAATAAATTTATGTATCTGAATTGTTGCTTTTTACTTTTGTAAATGAAGGACATTGAATTTTTAAATTGAAATATTTAATTTGTTATTTTCATGTTAGAAAGCAGAAATTCAAATATTTCAATTTTTTTCTAACATCACGATGCTGAACAAAAATAAATCACAAGTTATAATTCAGTAGCGAAGTGGGAAAACAGTTTAAGTCAATTTTGACTATTGGCCAGTTTTCAATGAATATCTCAAAATATAAGGGAGATAGCAAAATTTTAGTTATAACCTTTTTTGTGGAGCTGATTGAGAGCTACAGCAAATGTGATTACGAAAATTTCGCTATCTCCCTTAGATTCGGAGATATTCCTCAAAAACTCAACCGGGAGATATAAGTCGACTTAAACCGTTTTACCACTTCGTTACTGAATTGAACACAAGGTTGAATTATTTTCTAAAAAATCATTAAAAATATTTTGTCTATTCGTAAAAATTTCGAATAGACGAAGTATTCTTCTTCATGTGGACAAATTTATTCCTTTTATTTTTTTTTATGAACCTTTTCATCTTTTCTAGCAAAATAAACTTGTCTATCTGAATTGTTAATTATGCTTCTTATGAATGAAGAATGTTAAAATTGAAATATTTACTTGTCAGAACCAAGCAGCCTGTATGTTCTACTAGGATCACTGATTTCTTGGGTTATCTCTCCATTTTTGTAACTCCTCCCCTGCATTCCATGCTTGTGAAACGCGAGAACACTATCGGGAAGGCAAACTGAAATAAAAACGCAATTAAAATTCACGAAATTACCTGGAATCAAGTGAAATTTTGTAAACTCACTTATTGATTCAATTTGAAAGTTGAATAGAAGTTCGGATAATTGCTTTTTACTGGCCCGAGGTTTACCCTGAAGATTAACAAACTTAACGATATCTGAAAAATAAAAAACAAAGAATTGAAGACAATTTTAATTAATCAATGAATTTAATTCTCATCAAAAAATGATTATGAAATCACAACTTCACCATATTATATTATTATATTATTCAATACTGAAGTCAGACCATTTTTTAATAGAAAAGATAAATTATTTTTGAATAATTATCTACGAAAAATGATTTAGATATTATTTTTTTTACAATTTGACAGTAATGAATGAAATCCTTATCGAACTGCAATATATTAATCAATAGTGAAGTCAATCAATTTGTTAATAATTGATTGACATCACGAAAACATTAATTATTTTTACATGTAAAACGACCCAAGTTGACTTGACTGAATTTTTAAGGAATATCTCCCAATCTAAAAGAGATAGCGAAATTTTCGTAGTAACATTTTTTGTAGGGCGAATTGAGAGCTACAAAAAAGGTTATAACAAAAATTTCCCCATCTGTCTTATATTCCGAGATATTCACTGAAAACTGACCAATAGTCAAAATGAGAAAAAGATAATGCATGAAATTCTTACTATCATGACAAACAAGGATGGAATCCTTATCAAACTGCGTGACATTGATGACCTGTAGATTCTCCCGCCTAGGAATGACCGTAGCCGAGCCATCGATGTCCTCCAACTCATCACTATGAAACCAACTGGCGCCGGAGTTCATATTAATCAAATCGAGCTTGAGTTTATTCTGCTGATAGGCCTGTTTAACTGATACGCAAACCATGGGATACTCCATTTCCGGTGTTATTACCATCTCGAATACATTGAGGGGTGATGGTAGGGAACACTCAAAGTGTTTGAGCAGCATGAATTTGTTGAGGGGATCGTACCACTGCATCAAAAATATACCAGCTGGCGTTGCTCCACACAAGTACTTGTAACCGTTGTATGGATTGCGACCCACGCAGCACTTGCTGCAGCCTTTTGTGTCTGGTACTTTTGTTGTAAGGGCGAATTTACGGGGAACTAAGCGCTCGGGTATTTTATTCATATGCAGTGAAAATCTATGAGATTGTTTACTTTGCATTGCTAATAAATCGTGTCTGTACAGCTGTGGAGTTTTTCCTGAATTGAACAAACATAAATGTTCATATTTATTAGAACTTTTAATTATTTTTAAGAGGATCTTTTGTAAAAATTCTTTGGGAGTTCTATTCAAATTTGATTTTTTGTGACATTTTTTAATTATAAATTTTCGTTGGTTTTATCATTTATTATGTAAGGCCCGGGTGTACTATCTTTCTAATGTTATCTGGATTTTTTTCATCTTTCGTAATCTAAAATTTTCAATTGAGTGGTACATCATGTAGAAATTCCCAAAAATTATGATAGAATGATAAAAAAAATAGAAAAAATTCTGAACTTTTTCACAGAGCGTTTTTAATAAAGATTCAGAATGAGTTGAAAAAAGTTGAAGTTTCAAACATTTGATTCGGTGTGGCAAATTATCTATTTGCTGTCATTTTCCATGATGGATAACAAAACACTAACTCCTCATGGGAAGTGACAGCTAGGTATCTTAATTTTCAAAACAGTGGTATGTAGTCATCTGCCATTTTTGTGATAAAAGTGTGATTAAAAAATTCTCCAAAATATTACTTTTTTCAAAGAGCCTTTTCCGTAATAAATGTCTCTGTGCAGTATGGGAAAATATTTATGAAATCAGTCTTCTCCCTGCATGATATTGGGTGACAGGCCGCCATTTGTCACCGTAAATCGGATACATTTTTCAATTTCTTGTTATTCAACTTATTCTGAATATAAATTAAAAATGCTCTTTGAAAAAATGAAGAATTTCTTCTACTTTTTTTTTATTACTCATTCATAATTTTTTTAAACTTCTGCATGATGCAGGACTCAATTGACAATTTCAGATGACGAAAGATGAAAAAAACATCGAGATAACGTTCGAAAGATAGTACACCCGGGCCTTAAAAAGAACAAAATTAATTGATCAATTTTTTTTTCTAATTATAAATTGTCACTATCTTTTCAATTTGAACGTTATAAAAAAAAGCATAAAATTGCATAATTTTCTATAGAATTGACGCAAAAAATAGAATTTACCAATAGAATTATAGATATATTATAGAATTTTATATATATACATAACAAATGAAACTTAAAGAGAATTCTAATAGAGTTCCAATAGAAATTATAGCCAAAAAATCATCCAGATAACAAATTACAGAGATTAATTCATAATTTTGCTGCATCCATTTACCTGACAGAGACATGAGAACATCCTTGATAACATACATCCATATCGTCCGTCTAGGATACAGCTGGTCTATCGCCGTTTCGTGAATCTCATTGAGGTTCAGATTATAAATTCCCTCTTCAGCTGCGATCAGCAGATGCTGATCCCTCGTATCCGGATGGATCCAACTGGCTGTACAATGTATTCTGAGGGGGCATCCATTGAATACCTGAGGGCAATTAATCATTAGTAAAGGAGATTAGCGAAGAATAGACCAAATTCCATTGACAGTAGATCGAGAACGGCACAGTCGAATTTTCTGATTTTTTCTTCATTTACAGGTATTTTCTCAAGCTTCAAAATGAAATTGGACTCATCCGAATGGTATCGTTGGGTCAGGAGATATGGCCGATTAAAAGTAAACTTTCTAATTTTTGTTCAGATTTTAAAAATGTTTTCTAACGGTTCAATATCGACTTTTAAATTCAGACCTACATAATTTAAATAATAAAATCATTGTAAAATGTCCCGAAAGATCGGGTCAAATGGGGCTCAAATGGAAGCTCTGATGTTCGACTACAAAAGTAGAAAAGCGTAGAAAGATGTGGGAAAGTGCTCAGGTATTGCATATAGTACAGTTATTTTAGTTAGTTTCTACTGAATGGGAAATTATTAATCTCATCAGTACTCCCAATAATAAAAAAAGTCAATAAACAAAAGTTGATTAAAAAGAATAGTTGATAAATTTTTTTTTTTGCTTAAATTGCGTCAAACAGTCATTGTTCGACTGTTTCATTTTGCCCCACTGTTCCCTACTAGAATAAATTTGAAACATCACATTTAACGAAACCATCAGAAAGTTCATTTTCAGGGGAATTCATGAAAAATTCGAAATGTTCAACAACGATCATAAAAATCAAATCAACCAATATAGCTATCGTAATCATGTTTTAACTTTAACTTAATGGCATTAAAACAGACATTTTTTTGCTACGATTGAATTCATTTGGCGCATGATATTTAAAAATATCCTCGGAATTCTCATTTTCAGAAAAATACAAAATTTTGCAAATTTTCAAATAAATCTAAATAACGATTATTGCTATTGCCTTCATCTTCGAATCTTCGAACTCGGTCAAAAGGACATCCAAACAATTTTTAAGCCATCATTCAATCAATTCAGAACATTTTTTTAGTTATCATGGGACAACTGATTTTCGAAAAAATTAGAAAATAAAAAAAACGAACTCATGAATTAAATTTTAATTATTAATTTTGGATCATATTGAGTCGATATAAGACAAAAATCCAAAACTTAAATTTGGACGACTACAAAGCTTCCATTCAGCTACAAAAATGGCAAAATTAGGGTAAACCGGTCAATTTCTGGACGGGGGTTAGTTTTTGGACGATTTCAACTTGTTTCTTAATTTGATTACTCTTTGTTTTGTTATTTTGACTTCAAATAATTTTTTTCTGCTGATAAAAACATTTTTGAAGGTATGGAAGCCATCAAATCCCAATTTAGGTGATTCTTTTTTTTAGATCCTACCACGAAACTCGAAATTCCCTTAACCGTCCAGCAATTGGCCTGTTCACCCTACTTGGATATCCTTAAGGGGAAACGGAACCCCTGCGTTTATATGAATCTTTAGAATTGTGTTTTCTCCTGCAATTATTATTTTTTATTCATTAAACTACTTCATTGACTCAACAATGCGATAATCGAGTCGATAAACTAATTTCATAGATAGAAGTTAATAATTGTAGGAGAAAACACAATTCTAAGATTTGGTGTAGACAAAGGGGTTCCGTCTCCCCTTGAGGGGTAACGGAAGCCGTCGCAAAAGTTTGTTTTTTCAACCCATTTTTCTCCGAAAAATGTGTTGTGTTCAATATAAATGGCTGAAATTTTCACCAAGTATTGAGGAGAGTCTAAACGTTGTCGTCCATCTATTATTTTTTAGCATCTGCTGTGTCGTTAAGTTTTCTGCATTTTTTTTTTTGCAAAAAATCTGAAAAATAATAGATGGAGGACAACACTTAGTCTCCCCTCAATACTTGGTGAAAATTTCAGGCATTTATATTGGACACAATCGGAGAAAAATGGGTTGAAAAAACAAACTTTTGCGACGGCTTCCGTTACCCCTTAAGGGGAGACGGAACCCCTCTGTCTACATCAAATCTTAGAATTGTGGTTTCTCCTACAATTATTAATTTCTATCTATGAAATTACTTTATCGACTCGATTATCGCATTGTTGAGTCAATGAAGTAGTTTAATGAATAAAAAATAATAATTGCAGGAGAAAACACAATTCTAAAGATTCATATAAACGCAGGGGTTCCGTTTCCTTTTAAGAATAAATAATAAAAATTAGAGGTAAATCTCACTTTGGAAAAACAGGCTCCCATGTGTACTTTAGGCGTCGGAGGTAGACCGTTGCTGGTAGGCCGTGGTGGTGTATGTCTCTTTCGATCCCTCCTCCTGGGTGGTACAGGTGGGGTATCAGACAACAAATCAGGCTCCATACTTTGGTTCTCCCCATCCCCCGACTCTTCCTTCTCACCTGACAATGCAAAAAAAAATCCATATTCACTCTCTAAATTCAAATACAACAATTGCCAACTACAACAACAGGGCTAGTAAAATCACTGAATAAAACAAAACCCTATTGACATTGAAATAAATAATGAGTGAGAGCATGCATGGATAGTCAACGTGCTCCTACCATTACACTTCGTTGAATCATCCCTAGGCCCACTGTCGGATAACGAACGCTGACGTTGTCCATTGACAGATGACAGTGACAATGTACCGCTCACAAGACCATACAACTCGTCCACAGAGCTGTGACGCCTGGGACTTGCTTGTGACCCTATTACACCCAATCTACCATTTACACTACTCCCACATTGAATTCTCTTATTCGAAATGATTCAGTTATTAAAGTTATGAGTCATTTATGCATGTTAGTGTGACTAAAATAATAATCAGGGATCGGCAGTGATATTATTTGGCGAAAGGACATATTATTGCATCAATGAGTAATGACTAAAAAATATTTTTCCCGGCTTGGCGCACAAAATACTATTTTCGTTCTATCGTAAATGAGTAATTGAGTATTTCAATTATTTTAATAGTAGCAACGAACGTAGCGACGAATACCCGATTGATGATCAATATTCCCCATTTAGTACATTAACGAAAATTTTTTTCATTACAATAAGAAGATGTCCTCGCCACACTCCAACAAACCTATTGATATGGATTTAATCTCGAAGAATTACGTTGGATAAATAATTGATAATTAATTCCATTGCAATACTAATTACCAAAAAAATTCAAATTTTTTTTTTTTCATCATCTATCAATATTATGATGAAAAATCAATAGTGAATACATAATTTCATTATAGCATAAATGAGTAATTGATAATTCGAATTTTTTAATCAGCTGATCATTACAATTGGATTTTTTGCATTCCGATACCAATCCATAATGAAATATAAACTATCCCAATTTCTCGAATAATGAATAATATTTATGATCAACATTTCAATTAAACTATTTATGAAAAATTGATTGAAAATTTTTTTCATTACGATAACACGATTTCTTCGTCAAACCTCAACAATCCTATTTCTATTGATTTCATCTGGAAGGATTACGTTGAATAACTAGCGGTAATTAAACTCATTATCATCATTCAAAATCACAATAATTGAAAATGAATTTCATTCCAATACTAATTACCAAAACAATTCAAATTCATTTTTTTCATCGACTATCAATATTATAATGAAAAATGAATAGTGAATGCATAATTTCATTATGTCATAAATGAGTAATTGATAATTCGAATTTGTTAATCCAGCGATCATTACAATTGGATATTCTTCGTTACGATACCAATCAATAATGAAATATGAACTATCCTAATTTTTCGAATAATGAATCATATTTATGATCATCATTTCAATTAAACTCAATTAAACTCATTGTCTTCAATCAAAATCAAAATAATTGAAAATGAATTTCATTCCAATACTAATCACCAAAACAATTCAAATTAATTTTTTTCATCGTCTATCAATATTATAATGAAAAATAAATAGTGAATACATAATTTCATTATGTCATAAATGAGTAATTGATAATTCGAATTTGTTAGTCCAGCGATCATTACAATCAATAATGAAATATGAACTATCCTAATTTTTCGAATAATGAATCATATTGATGATCAACATCTCAATTAAACTCATTTAAACTCATTGTCATTAATCAAAATCAAAATAATTGAAAATGAATTTCATTCAAATACTAATTACCAAAAAAATTCAAATTTATTTTTTTCATCATCTATCCATATTATAATGAAAAATGAATACTGAATGCGTAATTTCATTATGTCATAAATGAGTACTTGATAATTTGAATTTGATCATTACAATTGGATATTCTTCGTTATGATTTGTCTGGTCATTCGTCACTAAAGTACAACTTATGCCAAAAAAGGAAATTGTTAAAATGTTTAAAGGTGAAAACCATATAGTTGAAATAAAAAAATTGTCTCTTCTTCATTACGATGACAATCAATAATCTAATTTCTCCAATAATGAATAATAGTTATGATCATCATTTCAATTAAAATCAAAATAATTGAAAATGAATTTCATTCCAATACTAATTACCAAAAAAATTCAAATTCATTTTTTTCATCATCTATCAATATTATAATGAAAAATGAATAGTGAATGCATAATTTCATTATATCATAAATGAGCAATCGATAATTCCAATTTGTAAATCAGAATGAGCATGATAATCATTTGGCGATCTCCGTGGCTGTTACTGACTCACCTAAACCCTCGTAATTTCAAAATAAACCGAGAATTCCCCCCTTACCGAGTGAATTCCCCAAAAATGAAATTAAATCGACCAAATTCATGCGCTCACATGCTACCACTCGAAACAACTCCACAATATTCCTCATCCCCCCGGACTACCAACACTACAAAAGCCCTCACTAGAAAAAACAAGTCTCACCTGTGAGGTTCCCATAATACCCATGATGCAGCTCGCACTCGTTGGACGTCTCCCCCAGTGGCAGTGTCGCCCTGAAACGAATGTCCAATTGAGTTTTCGATATTATCACCTCCAATTCCCTCGACTCAATAAAAACATAAATTATTAATCATCGGCATTGGGCGTTAACGTACTCAGCAGATAGAGCTGTTCAAGTTTATTAGTATCACAGCAGATTAAATTCGATAAATCATGGGCTGAATAATGTCAAAATAAATGATCAAATGATTGAGTGCAACGAGTACTTACTGCAGGGAGTATAGCTGGTCGCAATGCCCATCGATCATCGACATTGCATTTCCCCTGCACACATAAAACTCAAATGACAAACGTACTAACGATTTTTTTACATTATGATTTACCAAGGGTTTATTTGTCATTGTCATCGCCTAGCAGCCGAAATTATTAGCTAATTAAATTCATTTCGTCAGAATAAATGATTAGCTAATTAATAAATTCATTTCATCAGAATAAATTCGACACAAAAAATCCAATGGACGCTTTTTTAGTTTACCCATCACCTCAACGAGTTTGTTTATTTATTAATCAACTAACTGATGCTTTTGACAAAATCAAACTAGTTCATTTTCAAAGAGTCGAGTCGGCATGCGCTCAATGCAAGCGAAAAAAAAACAGATATCAACGAAGAGTGGCGACAGATAGTTGAGTGATTGATTTGGTGAATGAGTTTTTTTTTAATCGGATGTGTTTATCTTTGAATGAAATACTGATGGGTCTGATGAATTAGAGAAGCCAATGTGCAAGGTGCAAGGGAAAAGGTTACCTGCCAATACCTTAGCAACAACTCCTCATCAATGTACTGCAATAGACTCCTGTTGGGATAAATCACATGAATAAAAATTATCGATTTATCTAGATGAATAAAATTCGTTGTGGAAATTAATGGGGAAGAGAAGAAACTTTTCATTATTAATTTGAGGTGGTGAAGAATTCTACGCATACCACGGCAATACGAAATTTCACTCAAATTTATCAGCGAATCGAGGGAAACAATACTTTCATGCCTGATTTTAATTCGTTTGCTCATGCATTCTTGTTATTTTCCGTGAATTGAGAAGATATTCTTATTTTGGGAATTGGAGGACAATTTTACACCCCCACGCACGAAATAAGGATTACTATTCAAATTTTTCATTACTCGGGACTTCTTCAAAAAATAGTATAAAATATGATAAACTAACAATTGAAAATTTCATTCGAAAAACGAATTTACGCAACAGAAATGTGTTTTTTGGTATTTTTTTACTTGTGATTTTTTTTATTCGAACAAGACTTGGTTGAGGAAATATTTTCTTTTCTCTCAGTGTACTTTTTATTCTTAATTTTAGACAGTGAAGAATTCTACTCATACAACGACAATACGAAATTTTAAGTTTGAGCTAGAGAGGTTCGTTTTTTTTCAAAATTTTTCAAAAAATGTGTAGCATAACTATTACCAATATTTTTTTTTAATTCGACCTCCAAGTAGCAAATTTTGTTTTTTTTTGTTTTTTTCTTCATATGAAAAATTGCAGCATGCATGCAAAATTTGCTACTCCGAAGTTGTTCCGAAGAATTTATGTTTTTAGAGAACATTTTTCCGGGAAACAATTCTCTGGGGAATGATTTTCCGGGAACAAATTTCCTGGGAACATTTATCCTACAATCGTGAAGAATTCTACTCATAATACGACACCACGAAATTTCAGTCAAATTTATCAACAAATGGATAGAAATAGAACTTTCATGCCTGATTTTACTTCGTTGTTCATGCATTCTTATTATTTTCGTTGGATTGAGGTAAAAATATTCTTATTTTGGGAATTGGAGGACAATTTCACACCCACAGACACCGAATAAGGATTACTCTTCAAATTTTTTTACTACTCGGGACTTCTTCGATTACGAAAAATGTTAATTGATATAAATATTCATTCATTCAGAAGTAAATTGGGATTTAATAAGAAATAAAGTACAATATGATAAACTGCCAATTGAAAATTTCATTCAATAAACGAATTTATACAGCAGATATGTCTTTTTTGGTCATTTTTTACTTGTGATTTCTCTGACACAAACAAGATTTGTTTAAGAAAATATTTCTTCTTCTCTCAGTGTACTTTTCATTATTAATTTTAGATGGTGAAGGATTCTACTCACACAACGATAATGCGAAATTTCTCTCAAATTTATCAGCAAATCGACAGAAATAATACTTTCATGCCTGATTTTACTTCGTTTGCTCATGCATTCTTGTTATTCTCGTTGAACTGAGGAGAAAATATTCTTATTTCGGGGATTGGAGGACAATTTCACATCCACATACACTAAATAAGGGTTATTCCTCAAATTTTTTTATTCATTCGAGACTTCTTCGATCATGAAAAACGTTAATAGTCTACTTCCATTACCTGAGGCTCATATGCAATATTTCGAGGCCTGTTTTGCTTCGGCGGGACAATGCTCTACTATCGGAGAAAATTCACATAAATATTCATCTAGTCAGAAGCAAATTGGGATTTAATGAAAAAAATTAAATGTGATAAACTGATAACTGAGAATTAATTCGATAAACGATTTTATGCAGCAGAAGCAATCGTGCAGAATGCATCTAGAAAATACTCAATGATGAATGAATAACAAATGCCATGAAATGGGAATTTTAACAGACTCGTATAGGTGCTTAGTCATAATTATCGCCGTTCGTTTGGAGTTCCGTACGTATTTATGCACTTATACATACGTCAATTGAAAAGAGAAATAAATAGCTCAGATGACTAGCCATTTAATTTTGAATAATCAATTTGTCAATCGTTGTGTTTAATGGGAGTTGATTCACTTACTTTTCTTGGACGTCGTCGAATGCTGTACCAATTCCACAGTCGGGGTGTACATCACAGTTGTGGACAGTCTAAACAGGAGAATAAGAGTGAGAAATAGAGAAATTTTATCGAAATTAGTTTATCGAATTCGCAAAAACCTAGCGAATTCGATAGAAAATTCCATTAGATTTCTATTGAACTTTTATTGAAAAGTGCATTAGATTTTGGACGTTTTTTTGAAGAAGTGGCGAGTTTTACTACGCGTTTTTTACAGAAAATTTCCAATAGAAAATATTTTATACGGGAAATGAAGTAGAGTAAAATTTCTTTTTTTTATACAAATTTTTCTGTTGATATATTTTCTACGGGAACTCCTCGACATGAATTTTTTCAGTTTTTTCCGCTCTATTTTTTTTTCTCTTTTCATTGAGAGAATCGAACGAAAAAAATTATAAAATTTGAGCCGAGGAATATTCATAGAGAAATATGTCAATGGAATAAGTTGTACAGAAAAATCGAATCCTATTGATTTTTTTCGATGAAATATTTTCAGTTCCATATAAATCTAATAGAATTTTCTAGCGAATTAGCTAGGTTTTTCTTTTATGGATTTAAAGTATTGAGAATTGAGTTTGATGATAATACCTTCACGTTGTTCATAATATCCATGATATCCCAGACAGGATTGGTTCCATCTGGCTGTGATGAAGGTGTAGAGCCTCGGATTGTACCACTCTCAAGATTTATTTGATCTAGGAGAATCAGAAATATATCAAGTGAAATCTATTTTGGGAAAAATCGGGATGAGGAATTCAGAAATAAATTGTTACAGAAATGTTAACATTCTGGAATTCTATAATTATAAATTTCATGGGATTTTAATGATTCCTGGGAATTAAAAAGACTCCCTTGGGCGAATCGAGGATGAAAATGCTTCACTTTTCAACATTTTTATTGGCAAAATCACGAAGAATATTCTGACGCCAAAACGAAGTTCATTTAATGCAGTAGTTTTCGAGATATTGAGAAAATAAACGTTTTTCGGAATCGCTGTATCTCAAAAACTGCTGTACCGATTGAGCTCAAATTTTGCCCAGATGTGGCCGCAAACGATACTAATTATGAGCCAAAATTTCAGATTTTTATCAATCACTTTAGTCCTTTTTCTGTTAAAATTTGTAAAAAAATTCCCAGAATTTTATACGCACATACGGCATTCTCTAAGAGCATCATATCTCGACGTTTGATGACATTCTAAGTCATTTCCAAACAAAATTAGAGAATCGAAAAATCGACCGATTACAAAGCTTCCATTCGGAAGGAAAAAAATAATAATCTCCACTCACCATCACTATCTAATTGCGAAACAAAGTTCTTTGGTGTAGCTCTTGCAGCAGTGTGTCTCGATGCAATTCTCTGCGGCACATTGGGCACAGCTCCATCATCATCAGCATCGAGTTCCGTGAACATGTGGCTGGGATTGGACACCTTCTGCAGTAGGTCAAGAGCAAGTCTCTTGCTCATATCCTCCTGGAAGAAGCCATGCGCCAGTAATTTAGCAGCTGTCGGCCTCTTCTTCGGATTCTTCGTCAAAGCGACTTTAACAAAATTATGAAACGTCGGACTCCATTTGTCACGATCCTTCAGAGTCGGTGGTTTGAAGCTGGATTTCGACATGAGGAAGAGTGCCCTCATGGGATGGAGATCGAACATCGGGGGCTGGAGCTCTGCCAGTTCGATGGCTGTAATTCCACAGGCCCAGATGTCACAGAGCTGATTGTAGCCACCCTTTCTCTCCACAGCTGCCACCTCGGGGGCCATCCAGTAGGGTGTCCCTATGAAACTTTTCCTCTTGTTTATCGTCGCTGTTATCTGCGCTGACACACCAAAATCCGCGAGCTTTACGTCACCAGCCTCGGTCAGAAGAATATTAGCCCCCTTAATGTCACGATGCATCTTTCCCATGTCGTGCAGGTATGCCAGACCGAGCAGGGTCTCTCGACACATGTAGGCTATTTGAATTTCAGTCAGTGGGCCTGTTATGTGGTAGATGTCTTGGAGTGATCCACCACCACAGTACTCCATGCATATCCATAATTTATCTCGTCTGAGATAACTACCGTAATAGGCGATTATGTTTAGGTGTTTACAGTCCTTCATCATGAGGATTTCTTGTTGGATTATAGCAAAATCATCTCCTGGAAATTCATTCGTTATTTTTATTTTATTTCGATAGCGTGTACGATTGGGTGTACGATTCTTCATTACGATAACAATGAATTCTGGCGTGAATTGGGAAACTAGGATGGGTATTTTTTTCATCACTTGTGCGTAAAGTGAAATTTGAGGCACGAGGGTTACGCGGAGTGTGTGTAAAATGCCACATTCCACACAACGTGATGAAAAATAGGGTTCGATATTCGTGGGAAAAGACCCTTCCTTCGTGTTCTTTGACCGTTGGGAGGGTAACACTCGCCTTTGGCGAGCGTTACACACCTACCATGGGTCAAGAATAGTATATTTCGTGTGATAGGCACACCTCGCCGTCGGCTCGGCGCGCCAACCTCACACGAGCCGAAAACCCCTGTGGCACTAGACGCGAACGATATTTTTCCGTAGTAATTTTCACTTTTAGCAGTTTGGGAAAGTGTCAATACCAATTCCCGGACTCGGAAAAATGAGAAACAGTACGCAAAACACTTTTACGCACTTGTATCGAAATGCACTATTTTGAAAGAATTTTTTTTTGCCAAATCGCGTCCACAATTTGTTGCGAAGTGATTTAACCACAAAACCCATTTTTGAAAAAACATACACTTATCCTAGTTTACCAATTCATCACAGAATTGTGAAATATTAAATTTTTAATAGAAATTATGAAGAACATTGTAACGAACACCTGCAATCGGCCGAAAACAACTTCTGACTCGTTTTTTCTAAAAAAATTTTTTCGGCCTTGTAACCAAAATAGCTATTTCAGTTCCTTGAATAATAGATAACTTTGATCGTCGATATATGGATTAATATTTAAGATAAACGATTCATGAAAAATTTGATTGGAATTTTTTTTATTAATTAAGGCCCAGGTGGATTATCTTTCAAACGTTATCTCGATTGTTTTTCCATTTTCATAATGTAAAATATATTACAATTTCCATTGGATTTTACATCATGCAGGAGACTCTGAACATTCTGATTGTACAATCAAAAAATGTCGAAAAAAAACTAAACATTTTCAAAGAGCGTTTTTAGTAAAGATTAAGAAATAAGTCCGGTAGAGAGGAAATAGAGAATGGATAATTTATCATGGTAACTAACGATCTGACATGGACTACTGTGACAAATAACGACCTAGCAGCCATTAGATTCATCAAATTATTATTTTGCAATTTCCTCCCTATTGGGTTCATTTCCCAATATTATTCAAAAATGCTCTTTGAAAATGTTCAGCTTTTTTTTCAACTTTTTTTTGATTGTACAATGATAGTTTTTGGAAACTCCAGGGCTATGTAAAGTGAATAGTATTCTTATAGGAAAAACTGCAAGAGAATATTCATATAGAAAAAGTGAAATCTATTGACTTTTCTCTATCAAATATCTCATAGAATCAGCGCAAAAAACTAACAGAAATTTACCGAATATTTCCTAAAATTTAAAAACAATCCAAATACAATTTTCTAGCGAATTCGCAAATTTTTTCTATTGAATTTCTTCATACATACGTTAACTAAAAATTTCCCAAACTCAACATTTAACAATTAAATTTCCTGTGACAACCAAAACCCCTTTACTCCAACAAAAAATGGCCCTCAATCATTGACATTCGTATTCCAACGCGAAAATTAGACTTCAAGATAATTCGGTAACTCACCAGGTTCTAGTTTAATGACTTTAATAGCAGCTAAATCATTCATAGAAAGTCTCTTAGCCTGCAACGAAAAAATGGGAGATTGAGCACGAGATAATTGCGAGAGCCGAGATAACGTATTGATTAATCATTAACCTTGTAAACATCTCCGTAAGTGCCACTGCCAATTCTCTGAATGAGTTCATACTCATCCTGAGGATTTCGTCTGCTTATATCACTGGACAATACGTTCGCGTTCACCGCCATTGTATATCAACATTCACCCCCCAGTCCTCAGATTCACACTAAATTTGTCTTGATTAACTGCACACAAGTAACGAGATCCAATGACATTATTTCAACATATCGTGGGTGCTGAGTGCTTCAACATTTTTGGGATGGCTTGAGGGCTCAGCTGTAATGACAATTACGTGGTACATGAGACCGTTGGACCTAGTTCTATTAGGTATATATTGTAGCGGTTTATGTGTCACATTAGATCAGACGTCGCTATGGTCGCCATTTGTGCCATCGCTGAGAGCACAAAGTTTCATGAAGTTGTTCTGTATCGAAATGTATCGAAGCTGGCTGACCACGAATCCGGATGGTGGATGAGTCGCGTGACGTTAGTCGCTGAAAAAACACGCGGTATTTTCAAATTCTTGACAGTCACAAGTTATTCTTGAGATGGATTTTGGCTCATAGTGCTATTGAGCTCAAAAAGCGACTCTTATTTTTAGTACAAGATCTATGCGCGCGCTATCGCGCACGCTGATGCCTTAGAATCGCGGTTTTCCGTCCCTAGAGGCATAATAGTATATTTCTAACCTAGGGAGGGAAAATAAAGGATTCTCAGCCGCCAGTGCAATTACCAGCCGAGCCGAAGGCGAGCTGAGGGTCCTTTATTTTACTTCCCGTGGTTAGAACGCGATTTTCCGTCTCGGCGTAGGCGTAACGTCAGAGTTCCCTCCCGCGAAGCGGGAGGGAAATGTAACTTTGCGCCCGCCGGGACGGAAAATAGCATGTGCACCTCGGGCGGGAAAACATGACTTTCCGCCCTTGATGCGCAATCTACTATTTTAACACACCTGCAAGGAAAAGTTCGTATTTTGCTCTGTGATGAGCGGGAGGAAAGTGAGTACTTTCCACCCTAGTACGGAAAGTGTTCACTTTCCGTCCGAAAAATAGATTTTTTTGCATCTTATGTCATCAATAACAAAACGCAAATATTTTTCGAAGAAAAACATTTTCACATTTTACTGAAAGGAATTATTATTATTTCAAATGATCGCCGTCCAGCCTGAGGTTTTTTGCATTTTTCTCGGATTCTATAACTCCTAGAACAAACGATGTTAATTCGTTATCACTTCGTTTCTTTAGAATTAATCTGAAACTAGAGGACCTAGAGTACTAAGTCCAATTACGTTCAATTTTTTCAGAGGCAAAATCAGGTATCACATTCTCCGGAGTCTTCTACTCATTGGAGTTCAAATATTACCGCAACTTCCCGAAGATATCCGAAACTTAAAACACACCGACGAACCAAAGAGTGTGTACGGTATTAGTATATATATGTATGTAGGTCCAGACAAAGTGAGACAAAGAGGACAGCTATATAAATCCCTCCCATTTACTCTAAAAATGTTAATTTACCCCGTTGTTTAATTAATGTGACGTATTTCTGTCCCCTCTTAATTTTATAACTATTCCTGCCACCAAAAAATATGGAAAATCTCGAAAAAGCGCAGTGGAGGCTTTCGATGTAGCACAAATGCCATAGTTTGACGTTTCTAACCAATCTGTCACTTGTCATTTTCACTTATCGTGAGATATTTCGTTGTAAAAATGGAGCCAAAGTCGAAGAGCGAACACCTGTTATCTCTGAAGGGTGAGCAGATATAATCTTCGATTAATCATCTTGTCATTATGATGGGACAGCTCTAATTATGAATTTTATTCAAGTGATGAGGTTAACGAGACCGACAATCGCCACTCCAGCTATTGTCACATGTGACTCGGCTGACTTACCTGGTAATACTTTGAATAATGCCTTAAAAGAGGATTGCACAGCTCTCCAGGGGATGGAGGTCCTGGCAGTTGGACAATTCATGGTTTTACCTCAGAGTTTTGGGTGAGAGAATTGCTTTGGTTTTTTAATAAATAAATTTACTCCACGAGTTACAATATCTATTATAGTAATTAATTAATGTACAAATCGTATTAATTAGACATCAGATTTTTTTTGTGTAAACACGAAAAATCTACTGATTTCTCTAAGAAATTCTATTGATGTTCTAGTGGAGTTCTATAAAAGTTCTTGGGCCTGATTTTTCTAATTTAATAAATGAATGTACTCCACCAGCAACAACCCAGCGAACAATTTTCGCCAATGCCATACAAAAGTAAAATAAATCATCATTAACATATTCTCTTGCAATTTTTTCTATGAGAATTCTTGGGTTTGATTTCTCCAAGTTTTTCTTCTAGAATTTTATTATAGAAAACAAATAAAAGTACAGCAGAAAAAATTGAGAAAATTTACGCCCAAGAATTTCTACAGAAAAACAAAAATCTATTGACGTCTTTATATCAAATATCCGTTAACAAAATGACACAAGTTGCATAATCTTCTATAGAAATGGTGCAAAAAACAAATAGAATTTTTTAATAGAATTCTAATAAAACTTCAGGAGAATTTTCATCGAGTTCCAGTCGAAATTCAATAGATTCGGAAGATTATTCTAGTAACTTTTTTCATGCGTGAATAAATTCAATAGAAAGAACCTAGAGGGCAATATTCTCAATTTTTTACATTAAATATGTCGATTAATTAATGCTTGTCTCTCTTCCACACAGAAATATTTATCTAGGGGAAATTTTTTCGAGCTACCTCTGTGTACATAATGGGAGTAATCAGGTGGTGAAGAATATAAGCGTGAAGGCCGATCTGCAAACGAGCACTCAGTCTATTCGTCTGTCGAATAAGAATGTAAATATTGGGGAATTGACAGCGGATAGTACTATTGACGAGGTCATCCACCATGAGGTGAAAGAAATTGGAACTCACATGTAAGTCTCTTCATTACCCTACAAATTGATAAATGAATTGAATTTTAAAAAATCTGGAGGGACAATTTTAAAAAATCTTGAGCGAAATTTTATTCACTTGCTAAGAAAATCCCTTAAAGTTTTTTCCCAGTGTCTCCGGTTCTTTCATCACCGAAATGATTGAAAAATAAACATTCTTAATGACCAACGACTCGAATTGTGGTACCTCTTCTCCATAAAATTCTAAATAACTTAATTTGTCGCAAATCTCAAACGAATTGAATTCTATAAGATTAAGGTTCAAGCTAATAAATATATCGCTTTTCCTTTCATTCGCAGACTAGTTTGCGAAGTAAGTTATACCCCATCAGCTCCAGGAAGTCTTCCCCAGTCATTCCGAAAGTTCTTCAAATTTCAAGTATTGAAGCCCCTCGACGTGAAAACAAAGCTTTACAATGCAGAGTCAGATGAGGTTTATGTAGAGGCGCAAATACAGAATCTCACTGTTGGTCCTATTTGCCTGGAGAAGGTGGCACTGGAATCCTCGTCTTCTCTGTTCGCTGGTAATTATGCGCAAACGAAAAAATTTCGCAGAAAAATCTAGGGAATTTGGTAGGATTCTATTGAACATTCTATCGGTTTTTGGACAATTTTATTAACGAATTCCATAGGTTTAATGCGTATTTTTAAAGAAACTGTCCAATACGACCTATTTTATGGGAAATATCTCTAAAATTCCATCTTTCTATGCTTTTTCTATTGGGATATCTTTAAAAGAATTCATCGACATGAGTTTTCCAAATTTTTCTACTCGATTTTTCACCTTTCAGTAAAAAAATCAAATTAAAAAATTGACAACTTGCATTCGACCCGAGAAATTTCTATAGAAAATATCTCAATAGAATAAGCTATATGAAAAATCGAATTCCAATCGAATTCTATTGATTTTGTTCTTTACAATATTTTTCATTGAACATTTCAATTGAAAAAAACGGAAATAAGCTGGAAATTTTTTTAATAAATGATCATAGAAAATGTCCAATATATTATCCTATTTAATCTAAAAAAAATCAGCGGAATTTGAACTTTTCAAACAACTTCCTCTATTGAAACATTTTCTGCTGGAATTCCTTGGCATGAATTTTATAAGTTCTTCCAACTCTACTTCTCTTCTCTTTTCGTTAAAAAAAGTCAAGCTAAAAAACCGGGATTTAGGAAATGTGAGCCGGGCCATTTAAATTTTAAAATATCATAAAAGAGTAAGTTGTACAAAAAATCGAATTCTACCAACTTTGTTAATGAAGTATTTCTCATTGCACATATTTACTATTGAAAAAACCGTGCAGATAAGCTGTGGAATTTTTCATTAGAAACGGGCAAAAACTACTAGAAAGTTCAATAGAAATCCAATAGAATTTTCTTGTAAATTCACGTTTCTCTGTGCAGTAACAACACTGAACACTAATGATCGAGGGGAGTCTATATACGGTGGTGTCAATGTACTGGATCCCAATTGCAGTAGGCAGTATCTTTACTGCTTAAAGCCTCTGCCCAGTTTGCTCAAGGATCCCAAAATAATGCATAACGCCACGCTGATCGGAAAATTAGATATTGTGTGGAGGAGTAATATGGGGGAGAGGGGAAGATTGCAGACTAGTCAACTTCAGAGAATGGTCAGATAATTCAGTATGGAAACTCAGTAGAACGAGTTGACTTCACACTTCTTGTTGAATCTTTAATCATTTCGATAATCACTTTTGTCAGGGGAAAACATTGAGTGGATATTTTTTATAGAATTTTTTCCAAGTGCACAAAAGTTTCTCTGACACTCAATATTCGTGATTATTCAAAATGTTAATTGTGGTTTTAAAATTTTGTCCAAATTTTGTTTGTGACAAACGCATTTTTAATATTTTTTCGTCAATAGTTAATATTAATTATGAAACTCACAGTCAATAGTTTTTGGTTGAGAATTCAAGGAATTTCGTTGTGAAAAATTCATAATTTGATGGGAAAACATATGAGAATTGTAAATTTTAGTTTAATTACTCCATGAGAATTAACAGAAATCAAGAAAGTTCAGATGAATATATTTTTTAATTTTCAATTAATTGAAACTTCAGTGTAATTTGCTACTAAGTATTCATATTTTTACTAACAATTCGCGTAATTCGGAGAATTCTCGTCTTCCTTTTGCTCAAAAGTATGATATCTCTCTAAATCTAATGCAATGTTCCTCTCCATAAAATTATCATTAAACTGTCCACGAAATGTAAATTTCCTTTTAACAATTTATTCTATTTTCCGAAGGCTCCTGACTACGGAGATCTCCGAGTGACCGCAAGAGACATACCAATTGAAGTATTCCTCGAGAGCATAACTGAGTTTAAGTGCCACGTGATAAACACATCGTGAGTATCCAATTCCGTACCGAAGCTACAGGATTCGAGTCGATTTAGCTTTTAGTTGAGTTTTCGAGGAATATCTTCGAATCTAAAGGGCATCGCGAAATTTTTTTAGAGACCATTTTTGTAGCTCCCAATTCGCTCTACAAAAAATGTTATAACAAAATTTCGCTATCTGCCTTAGCTTGTGAGGTATTTATTGAAAAATCACCAATAGCCAAAATCGACTTAAATTAATTAGTTTCCATTAGAAACAGAATATAAGGTATTCCATGGAAAATGAGATTTTTTCTGCGATTGGGGGGCTACAAAAACGATCTCTCAATGTTTTATAATACCCCAAAATGGCATTGATTGACTTTAATTATAAACAGTATGAAGTGAATTTAAATGTATTTAAATGTATATGTTACATATTTTTTTATACATAATCGAAGTCGTTTTGGGGTGTTTTGACCAAATTCACGGAATTTCAAGTCGAAAAAATTAAAAATAAAATGGATCCAGACCGAAACCCAACTTGTATGATAGCTCGAAATACTTGTTTCGATTATAAGAGTTAATAAAAAAAAGATGAGAAAAATAAAAGGTGACATAATTTTGAAAATTCAAGTTTTCAATTTTTTTTTGAAATTTGGTATTATGAGCACCTAGGGATTGAAAAAAAAAATTACTCAAAATCTTCTTATAGATGGTAGAAAATGAAAAATTTTGAGCGGTCATGAATTACAATCAACTGAATGGAACCCGAATTATTGAAAAAAAAAACGAGAAAACAAAGAAAAAATCATATCTCCGAAATGGGCTGTCGAAAAAAACTGAAAAAAATAGAGAAATAGTTTTTCTAGTCCCCCAATCGTAGTAATTATTGAGATCAATTTTCAAAAGGGTGAGGGTCAGCCGTTGACTCATTTGGCATGGAACACCTCATATATAAATGTTTCTAAATACTGTTCTAACGGTTCCCTTCGATTTATTTTTCCAGAGAGAGGAGCATGGATTTATTACTAAGTTTAGAGTCGAATAGTTCTGTTGCCTGGTGTGGAATATCAGATATAACAATTGGATCGTTGAAACCAGGAGCCTCCACTGATATTCCTCTGTGCCTCATTCCCTTACAAACTGGTTTAATTGTGAGTAAATGGAATACATTATCTTCATTAATACGAATTAACGTCGACAGTATCAATTTCCCGTTATCATTGATCACATTAAAAAAAAAACTCATTACGTCTTTGCAATTATTTTAGACAATCTCCGGGCTGAAATTAGTCGACACTTTCCTCAAACGTGTGTACGACTATGAAGATCTGGCGCAAGTATTCGTCTCTCAACTAAGTTAAAATGGAGAATAATTAGAAAATATTAACACAAAGAAAAGAAGGATGGAAATATTAGAGTGATATTTTATTACTGGAAATACGTGTCTAGAGTAGACATTCTTTCATTTTCATTGACAGCACCTACAGCGCAAGCGAGTAGAGTTTGCACATCCTGTGGCTCATTACCTCCATAAATATATCCATTCGCTTTGTCAATTGCATTTTTCACTTGGAGAAGAAGGCCCTGGTTGGAGATGTCGAGTGGTAGAAATGTCACAAGACTGTAGTCTTCGATCAGAGATACTAATGCAGCATTGAGTTTTTTGTATCTGGAAATAAATATTCACATCGATGATTTATTTTAGATCGATAGTGATGAGGCGAAAGGAGATAATTCCAAGATGAAAAGACAGATTCTCTCGTCAATTTTTTGAAAGAAAGAAACTGAGAGAAAAATATCGAGACTTTTTTTTGTTAGATTAATTAATGGACTTTGAAAATCGAAAAATATTTCTTCCTCTAAACCTGATAGTTCAAGAGATATTTGCAAAATGGTGTGGAGGGTGATGAGTGACTTTAAGATGTCAAAAGACTTTTTTGTCGGAAATTTGTTCAAGTTTGATAAAGATCTGCTGGCATTCCTCTCTGAATTGACTAATTTCAAATTTGGACATTTTTAAATTTATCTTGTGTCTTATGACTTCATCACCCTTTGGTCAATGATTTATTTTAGATCGATAGTAATGAGGTGAGACGAGATAATTCCAAGATGAAATGACACATTTTCTTGCGAATTTCTTTGGAAGAAAGAGGTTGACGGAAAATTATGAAGACTTTTTTTTGTTAGATAAATTCATAGACTTTGAAAATCGAAAAATATTTCTTCCTCTAAACCTAATAGTTCGAGAGATATTTGCAAAATGGTATGGAGGGTGATGAGTGGCTTTAAGGCGATGTCAAGAGACTTTTTTGTCGGAAATTTGTTCAAGTTTGATAAAGATTTGCTGGCATTCCTTTCTGAATTGACTAATTTCAAATTTGGACATTTTTAAATTTATCTTGTGTCTTATGACTTCATCACCCTTTGGTCAATGATTTATTTTAGATCGATAGCAATGAGGTGAAACGACAGATTTTGCTGCGAATTTCTTTGGAAGAAAGAGGTTGAGAGAAAATTATCAAGACTTTTTTTGTTAGATAAATTCATGGACTTTGAAAATCGAAAGATATTTTTTTCTCTAAACCCAATAGTTTTAAAGATATTCGCAGATATTTGCAAATTTTTCGTAGTAAATTCATTCAACATTCCCCCCTAAAGCTACTAATTCCGTTCATTTTTGGATTTATCCTGTTTATCATCCAACTACTGACATGATTAAAAAAAAGTTTTTTGAAATAAGATATCGAGAATGAAATACAAAAATACTTACTTGGCAGTCATGGGGTCCTCGTCGAGTTTATCAAGTAAATAATTCAAGTCTAATACTTCAGTATAAAAGTCTATGTTGAATGCTAGGCGATCACGGAATTTCTTCATCTGATCCAATTTGGTCATGATATTAACATGAGGTAAGCCCAGTTGTAGCATTGTGGTAGTGCAAAGTACAAGAGACGACAGATATTTTCCTAAAATCAAATTGAATCAATGAAATGCCATATTTTTTAGAAAACAAATATTACGAGTAACTAGTGCGCTGTTTTTTAACTAGTACAATTTCACAAAAATAATATTATTGTATCATCTGGAAATATCAACTGGAAATAATGATTTTCTGAAATCTGTATTTATTTTCACTCCCTGAAGCCTATGATTATTATGTGGAATAAATTATTATAATTTAATGTTATCCATTCTTATTCTTATTATATTTTTTTTTCCTTAATTCACAAGTTACAACATTGAATGAAGAGGAATTATGTTAAAGATCAATAAAAAGTGTTTTTTTGTGATCAAATCAAACACAAAACAAAAGTCATTCGAAATCTCATTCGGATAATAGAAAAATCTCTCCATGTATTCCTGAAAATTTCTAAAATCTATTTTCCCCTTCATAAGGTAAAAGGTTATCGGTACTCCTCATTCCTATAGTCGGATTCAAATAATTATCATGAAAAGAAAATGAAAAAAGAATCAGAAAGGGATAATCAGCTAGAAAATGGATTTTTTTTTCTTCTTTTACGTCGGAGGGGAACTTCGAATCACTTTTTTTGTTTAAGTATTAGAGAGATAGGTATCAATATTTCAGCGAAAAGAAATTCAAAAAATGCAAAAAAATGTGGGTGGAAAGAACTAAAAAAATCAATTTTTCAATGTCTCCGGAAAGTTTTAAAATCATTTTTTTCGAATAATGGAAGAATACTCATAAATTCGATTTCTATCCTTGTCTTTCGATAGATTGAATATAATAAATGACAAAAATTGAGAATCGGAGACCAAAAATTTCATAGGATTATTATTATGTAATAATAATAATGATATATCCCAATTTCCGTTGGATTTCACAACATGAGTCCCTAAAAATGATGGTTGTACAATAATTGATAAACATTGGACTTTAGCATGTAATTTAATTTTAATTTTTTCTATTTCATTGGTTTTATCGAAGTAATTCTCGATTTGAAACCCCTCCTCTAGCCTGCCACCCCACCTTTCTTTTCCTCTCATTGTTATCTGCGGTATCATGGCCGTCTTACTCTTAGCTGTGCCCCATTCGAGCTAGGACTGCACGGGAAACCATGTAAAACCCCAGTCGCACAGCCGGTCGATTGTGCAGTGCCCTAATATATCCATCTGTCACACTGATTAAATGGAGACACTAGGCCGCTACACCGTACCTACCGCCCGCAATGTTTGTACGAGCGAGGTGTTCCTAAGCGGTCACCCATCCAAGTACTAACCCAGCTCAACGCTGCTTAGCTTGGATGTCCGCCCGAGCAACACCTCCCCCACCCAACCATTACAGTCGGTGACTTTAGCATGTATATGTAATGTATTTAAGGCCCGGGTGTATCATCTTTCGAACGTTATCTTGATGTTTTTTTTCATCTTTCGTCATCTGAAATTGTCAATTACGTCCTGCATCATGCAGAAGTTTTAAAAAATTATGAATGAATAATCAAAAAAAGGAGAAAAAATTCTTAATTTTTTCAAAGAGCATTTTTGATTTATATTCAGAATAAGTTGATTANGGGGAAGACTGATTTCGTAAATCTTTTCCCACACTGCACAGAGACATTTATTACGGAAAAGGCTCTTTGAAAAAAGTTGTAATATTTTGGAGAATTTTTTAATCACACTTTTATCACATCAAAATGGCAGATGACTACATACTACTGTTTTGAAAATTGAGATACCTAGCTTTCACTTCCCATGAGGGTTAGTGTTTGTTATCCACTATGGAAAATGACAGCTAATAGATAATTTGCCACAGCGAATCAGATATTTGTAATTTTCACTTTTTTCAACTCATTCTGAATCTCAATTAAAAACGCTCTTTGAAAAAGTTTAGAATTTTTTATATTTTTTTTTATCATTCTATCATAATTTTTGGGAATTTCTACATGATGTACCACTCAATTAACAATTTTGGATTACGAAAGATAAAAAAAATCCAGATAACATTCGAAGGATGGTATACCTGGGCCTTAAATGTTGAATAAATAAATAAATGAATGAATAAATAGAGAAAAGTAGAAAAAAAACTGAACATTTTTAAAGAGCGTTTTTAATAAAGATTAGTAATAAGTCCTATAGAGCGGAAACTGTGAATGGATAATTTAACATGGCAATTAATGATCTGACCGCCATTAGATACAGTAAATTATTAATTTGCAATTCCCTCCCTATTGAGTTTATTTCCCAATACTATTTAAAAATGCACTTTGAAAATGTTCTTTTTTTTTCAACGTTTTTTTTAATTGTACAATCATAATTTTGGCGACTCCAGGGTCATTCTAAAAATCTGAATGGCAACTAACGAACAATTCAGATTATCAAAATGAAAAAAATTAATGAGTGATAAATAATTGAAAGAATCAAATAATTATTTACCAGGATCACTACAATGATGAGAATCAATGAGCTGAACACTGCAGAGTCTAACTAAATTCTGTCCCAGTCTCTCTGCGATAGCTGCCACTGATTTATGATGTGTGTACAGCTCTATCTGACCGGGGCAATCAAAGATGAGATAGTGATCCTTCAATTCCAGGACTTTTTTTATCAACCAGTCGACATTTTTCTCGAGAAATTCCATGCAGTACACGAGCGCGCCATTGGGGCCTAAATTGTATGTCTCCATTACTTCGTTATGTTTTATGAGCTCAGATATGTCAACTGCTGCCTTATACTCCATATTCTCATTTGCTGGATCTTTCATGTGAACAGATTGTTATTAATCGTTTTGCTCAGTTCGCTGGGAAAATTGAGTGGATTCTTGTAATTTTTAGGATAGGGGACGTTGAAGTGCAATGAACCGCATAAAATCATCAATTTTGTTGACTCAATGGTACGATTAATTTTAAGATAATTGAAATTTAATTTTAAACCGTGAAGGCACATTCAAAATGAGAAAAATAAGTGGGAAATTGGTTTCGTCTCTGTAAATTAGGAATTAATTAGTAATATAACAACTTATTCTATTGAGATATTTTCTACGCAATTTCCTTGGCTTAAAATTTCCAAATTTTTTTTCCATTCTATTTTTCGTTCCTTTTCATCGAGACAATCAAACAAAAAAACTTAAGCCGAGGAAATTTTACAGAAAATATCTCAATAGAATAAGTTGTACAGACCAATCGAATTCTATTGATTTTTTCTTTAGAACATTTTCTATTAAACTTTTTCATATGTGTTTTTTTATCGTTTATCATTTATCTTTTTATATTATTTTGTTTAGTTGAATTATATTTTTTCTTTGTTCTTTGATCGTTGAAAATTCAAAGTGAGAAAAAGAAGTGAAAAATTATTTTCGTCTCCATAAATTAGGAATAAATTAGCAAATGCTTCCGAATGGTCATTTTGCAAATCATTTTCTTATATCGCTTATGATTCATCTTTTTATATTATTTTGTTTAAGGGGAGACTACCATGATTTTTAAAATTCGCAGGCGATTGGAGTGAGGTTTCTCATGTATTGAAGATCGATTATATATGTCTAAAAGAAATCATTAGTTCAAAAAAATTAACTGTTTATTGTTCGTTTGCTCCGCATACGCTTAAAATGTTAAAAACTGTCCAGGGCCTCCACTTTTTGAGCTACAGAGGGTTTTTTTTCAAAATTTTTGGAAAAATGTGGGCAGAAACAATTCAGTAGCGAAGTGGTAAAACGGTCTAAGTCGACTTATCTCCCAGTTGAATTTTTGGGAAATATTTCTGAATCTAGAGGAGATATCGAAATTTTCGTAATTATATTTGTTGTAGCACTCAATCGGCTCTACGAAAAAGGTTATAACAAAAATTTTTCTATCTCCCTTATATTCCGAGATCTTCATTGAAAACTCAATGAAGGTCAATGGTCAAAATTGACTTCTACCGTTTTACCACTTCCCTACTGAATTACAAATTAGTTTTTTGAAATTCGACTCCTACACAGCTAATTTGGTTTTGTTTAATATAAAAATTTGCGTCATTCATGTAAAATAGGCAAAAAAAAAAATCCTTAAATATTTAAAATATATTCTCGATTCTTTCAGAAACATGTTTTGGACTATTTTACATGAATTGTGCAATTTTTGATTAAAACAAACACGATGTTAGCTGTGTAGGAGTCAAATTTCAAAAACCGACTTCGTAATTGTTATTGCAGACATTTTTTCCGAAATTTTGAGAAAAAACCTCTGTAGCTGAAAAATTGGAGGCCCTGGACTATTTTAAACATTTTAAGCGTCTGTAGGGTAAACGAACAATAAACAATTAATTTTTTCGCGCTAGTTATTCATTTTTAGACATATATAGGGGTGGATGGGGTAAAATGGACACTGGACTTTTTTAAAATTACTCATAACTCAGAAACAAATCTATCAATTGAGCTCAGTTTAGGCTCATCACAAAGGGAAAGAAATGTTCTTTGCAGTAAAAAAATTTCATCAACATTTCAAACTGCCATTAACATTTTTAAAAAGTCGAAAGTGTCCATTTTACTCCAACCTCTCCTATATATAATCGATTTTCAATGTATGAATAATCTCATTCCAATAGCCCGCAACTTTTAAAACTCATAGTAGTCTCTCTTTACTTGCAATCTCAAGTAAATGATGATTGAATATAGTTCATTCCACTGGATCAACAGGATTATATATGATAGAGAAAAAGATTTACGAACCCACGTTAACGACGGCGACTTTTCTCCCAATATTTCGAAGAAAATTACACATTGCATTACAATAAGTGGTCTTTCCACTTCCAGGTGGGCCAATCACTAATTGTCCGAATACCAACGACATTATTGGAAAGTAGAAATGCAATCACCAGGTTTTCAATTTTTTAATTGCAGCTATGATTAAGTTTAGCTTTTTTTTAATTTTAGTGCCCCCAAGAGCAAGTGATAGTAAGAGAGGTCGATCGATATCCACGGACTGTGCTATGTATTTAGCAGCGGCCAGGATTGAAGAGCTCTCAGATAGGCCTTCTCCAAAAATGGGACTGAAAAGAATTAAATTATTATTTAAGACCGTATAGTTCCACTGAAATTGCATGAAAATGTTTATACATGTAGGGGAGGGTGGGGCAAAGTGAAACAGCCGAAAAAAGACTATTTGACGCAATTCAAGCAAAAAAATTAAAAAAAATTTTTAACATTTTTTGTTCATTTTTTTTATTATTGGGAGTACTGATGAGAACAATAATATTTTTTCGTCTCATAATTCAATTGATTATAATTCAATAGATTAGATTAAGCCGATTACATTTTTTTTTCATTCAATCGAAATTCGGGAAATTGAAATTTTCCTTTTTCTCAATCTGGGGCTCCCCCTGGGCCTTCCTCGGGACTTTAGATTTTGCTGTTTCATTTTCTTTTCAATTAATCCATTGACACAATCTTCTGCCATCAAAACTTCTCAATAATTTTTCATTCCACTGAATTTGTCCCTACGCTCGTTCAGATCCTGCCAGCTATGACATTTCAATCATTTTGATAGTCCCAAGAGTCTATTAAGAGTGAACTACGATTGGAGTTATTATTTTAGTCAATAAGAAAAGTTATAGATACCAATGCAGAGTGATTTATTGAATAATAATAGAGTGTTACGACAGAGTTAATTCTTAAGCCACAAGTTAAGAAACTCACAATTTTAAAACGTTGATATCTCCGTTACAATAGTAAAATGGAATTAAAAATCCCTTGGCTAAGGTTTCGAATGGTTAAAAATTTAATAAAAATGCATAAATTATAGTAGTATCCGGATATTTCACTGAAATATTGCCAATTAAATGAATAGGTACAATGAAAATGGCATTGATCCTACGCTCGTTTTGCACCCAACTGTCAACTGGTAACGGACTAAACGGATGAAAAAATCATTTAAAAGGTTGCACTGTCCAATGGAAATATAATTTTGTGCATCGAGATATTTTTTAATGTTGTTTTATCACAAAATAGGATATTCACAATGTAATTAGTTTGGATATAACCTTTCCATATCACTGAAATCACGAGACGAGGGTAGGGACATGTGTAAAAATGAGCATGGGGACAAATGAACGAGCGTAGGGACATGGGACTTTTCACATTGATGGACGATAAATTATTAAAAAGTAGTAATTATCATAATTAATATAAATTAATTCCAATTCTGAAGGTTTTACCCTCTGAAATGTAATTTAAATCACCGCATCTTCACGCTCATTTCGATAGAAATATTGGACTAATGATGTGTTCACTTTAGCTAGACGAGCGTAAGGTCATTTACCTTAATTAGTACTCCCAATAGTAAAAAAAAGTTAATAAACAAAAATTAATTCAGTAGCGAACTGTTAAAACGGTTTAAGTCGACTTATCTTCCAGTTGAGTTTTTGAGGAATATTTCCGAGTCTAAGGGAGATAGCGAAATTTTCGCTATTACATTTGCTGTAGCACTCAATCGGCTCTACAAAAAAGGTCATAACAATACTTTTGCTATCTTCCTTAGATTCCGAGATATTCATAGAAAAATGGTCAATAGTCAAAAATGACTTATACCTTTTCACCATTTCTCTACTGAATTTTAAAAAATAGTTGATGAAAATTTTTTTTGCTTGAATTGCGTCAAACAGTCGTATTTCGACTGTTTCATTTTGTCCCACTCTCCCTTATGTTATCTTAAATTATTTGACCCTACAATTTGCCTAGGCTGTTGGGTCTCTAATGAATAAAACATAACAAATGAATATGAATTGATCTTACGTTACGTCGTACGTCGCACTATCAAATTCCTTGAGGCATTCCCCTCGAGTCACCAATACCAGGGTACCGAGTTTTTTATAGCTCGTCGCTACGATAAATATCTTGTCCCTGGAAAATTTTACAATGGAGGAATAACAAATACATAGAACATTTGGGTGTATAATATTCGAAATTTATCCATTAAAATAATTATTTAAAAAATCAAACAAAAAATTTTGAAAATTTAAGCTGAGGAATTTTTTATTGAATAAGTTCTATACAAAAATCGAATTCTATTGATTTTTTTTTTATATTTTGCACTAAGCGAAAAAGCAATAGACAGTACAATAGAAATCCAATAGAATTTTCTACCAATTTTCTTTTTGCAGAAAATGTCGAATAGAAACTGTTCTTATGGAAATCGAACAAAAAAGTTTGTTATAGAAAAAATCACTGGAATGTCATCTTTACGCAACTTTTTCGATAGAAAATTCTTCTATAGGAATTCCTCCTCATGAATTTCCCAATTTTTTTCATTCTATTATTCTTCTTTTGTTATTAAAAAAATAAAAGAAATGTTTTGAAAATTTGGGCCGAGGAATTTTCGATAGAAAATATCTCTATAGAATAAGTTCTATAGAAAAATGAAATTCTTTTCGACATATTTTCCATTGAACATTTCTATTGAAAAGAAGCGGAGATAAGTTGCGTAATTTTTCAATAGAATCGGGAAAAACTAATGGAAAGTTCAATAGAAATCCAATAGAATTTTCTAGCGAATTCGCTAGAAAATTCTTTTTGGATTCTATTAAAATTCTAGGGAATTCTCGCTAAAATTCTTCTTGGTTTTTGCGCTGATTCTACGAGATATTTGATTGAAAAAGTCAATAGATTTCGATTTCTGCATCTGAATATTCTCTTGGAATTTTTTCTATAAGAATAATTGGTCATGAATGTTCTTTATCCGAGTGAAAAATAAGTTTTTTCACTCGGATCCTTTAATGTAAAACAAAACAGAACATAGCGGAAAAAACTTAGATAATCCGTGTCCAACAATTTCAATAGAAAAAACCTGAAAAGAAAAATTCGTACAGAAAAATCGAAATCTATTGACTTTTTCCTATAAAATATCTAATAGAATCTGCGCAAAAAACAAATAGAATTATAATTGTAAGGAGAATTCTGCAGAATTGTAACAGAATCCCCATAGAATTTTTGGAGATTTCCAATAAAATTTTCTAGCGAATTCGCTAAGGTTTTCTAAGCTAGTTACAGCTAGCAGGGGGTAGGGGGGAATGCAAATTTGGATTATTGCAATCGCTTGGTGGTTCGAAGGTGGTCAAAGGTAGTCCACTTTTAGCTTTTTGGTGGTAAAAATCAATTAATTATAAATAATCAAAAATTTCACCTGCAGCCAGCGGGAGGGATGCATCTTTTTGAAAAATTCAACATATGAATTTATATGTAGAATTCTGTGGTGGTCAAAGGTGGCCCAACACCAAATTCATCCATTCATTTTTTTAACTGATAATGAATAATGTTTATCGGGTCTATCTTACCGAGAGGTACTCCCCCCACCACTTCCCACTCCGGGCCCTTT